CTCTGGGTCATTGACGGCTCTCTGGGTCACTGACGGCTCTCTGGGTCATTGACGGCTCTCTGGGTCATTGACGGCTCTCTGGGTCATTGACGGTTCTCTGGGTTTGTATCTTCTGATGTGTCTGAACCCCCAACAGATGGACGTAGAGTTGTTTTCTCGCTAAACCTGAACAACGGGAACGCGTCCTCAAACCTCGGCCGCCTGGGTTTGGCCGGGAACCAGGCACCTCTGGTGCACATTGGTGAACATCTGGACTCATCAGGGGTAGCAGTCCTTCAGACGTCCAGTCAGTGGACGTTCTCACTCTCATGGATTTCATATCATCATAGCTAACCCTAATTGTCAGATTGAGGTTATTTCTGCGACCATCGTAGGATTTTCTTAGATTAAATGAAGCAGCAGCAGATTTATCCATGTGCTATCAGTGCTGTCAGTCTATCAGCTGTTTCATCAGAGAATCTTCATGCTGCTGGTGGAGAAATGAATAAATAAATCAAAAATTAACAGAAATCTTTTCATCTAACCACAGAAAGGAACCAGTGATCTCCTGAAGTATCTAAGAGGACGGATTAAAGGTGAAGTTTTCCTTTTGTTTTGATCTGTGTTAAAATCTAAAGTACTGAAAGTGAACCGCAGACATCAGGTTAGGAAACACCGACAGGAAGTGAAGGGTTGATGGTAGCTCTGCGGGCGGGGAAAGAAGGCGTGGCGTTTCGCCCTCATTGAGTCAGCACAGCTCCACTGAGGTGGTCTATAGACCCATTACCACTGCCCTTATGGTCGGTTCCAGCACGGTAACCAAGGTAACCGTTGACTGTAAATGGAACGCACAATGAACCGGGCGGCGCCAGAATGAACCCAGTTCTGGCTCGGTTCTCAGATAACAAAGAGCTCATGATCAGACTGCCTCACCTTAGAGACCGCCTCATCTTACAGACCGCCTCATCTTACAGACCGTCTCATCTTACAGACTGCCTCATCTTACAGACCGCCTCATCTTACAGACCGCCTCATCTTACAGACCGCCTCATCTTACAGACC